GTGTTTCTCAGTTTGTGCCCGGGACAAAAAAACAGAAATTTTTTTATTCTTTTATTTGTTCCCCAGCACAAAAATTAATCTGGTTCATCCCGGGAACAAAAAAATAAACCGATTTTACAAAACAAGTTTTCTATTCTTTTTTGTTCCCGGGAATATAAATTTTAAAAAAAAAAATTGATTCCGGGAAGGTTGTCATATGCACACCATTAAAAGGATAAACATTTTTTCCATATTAAAATTACAAAAACACTTTGATTTCTGTCCCAAAACAACATCGTTTTGGGCTCACCGGAGATAACTTATTTCCTTTGATCGGAGAAATTCTTTACTATATATATATATATATATATATATATATATATATATGGGGTTAAAATTTCTCCTGTCACTTGAGATAAGCTTATCTCCAATCACCTTTTTTAACTATGTATTACAGACATTACATAGTATAAACTGCTGCAAATTTTTTTTCTTGCAACAACATTAGAGTTAAAATCTCTCCAGCCACTTGAGATAAGCTTATCTCCAACCACCTTTTTTAACTATGTATTACAGACAATACATAGTATAAATTGCTGCAAAATGTTTTCCTTGCAGCAGCAGTAGAAAAACAAAACTCGCGTATATGTATATATATATATTTAATATTTCTTCAACTACTTGTTGAGATACATAGGGCCCGTTTGGATGAGCTTTTAAAAAAATGACTTTTTATGCATTACTTTTTTTAAAAGGTAAAGTTATTTTACGTTTGGATATATGATCTGAAAATCACTTTTACATAAAAAAAGTTGTTTGGATGTTAAAATAAAAAAAAAGCACTTTTATATATAAAATTACAATAAAGGAGAGATAAAATAGCATGATCATGAGATAAGGAGAGATAAAATAGGTATGATAGGATAAGGTTAACATTGTATTTTAAAAATTTATATTATCTTTTTTCTAAAAAAAAAAGTTATATTATCTTTTAATTTTTGCTTTTTTCAAAAGCAACCAACTACTGGCTATAAAAAAAAGCAGCATTTTAACTTTTATTCTAAATTTTGCTTTTTTAAAAAGTTTTATCCAAACATCTAAAAATTCTTAAAAGGACTTTTATTTTTAAAAAAATTAACTTTTTTAGGAACAAAAGTCCATCCAAACGGGCACATAGTCCCATATTGGTTGTATGTGCAACTAATGTGGAGTTTATAAGGACTTGGGCACTCCCACCCTTTGAGCTAGCTTTTGGGGTGGTGTATCCCAAGGTTCTTTACATGCCTCACACGAGAGCTCTTTGGGCTTGAAGCGTGGATATTGCACAGACCCAATTTTTGGATTCCACTTTAAAGTGGGGGGGCAGTGAGGATCGAACTTGTGACCTTGTAGTCACTCAAGCTATGATACCATGTAAAGAACATTGGGATACACCACCCCAAAAGCTAGCGCAAAGGGTGGGAGTGTCCAAGTCCTTATAAACTCCACATTAGTTGCTAATACAACTAATGTGAGACTATATATCTCAACATGTAAAAAACTTTGGGATACATCACCCCAAAAGCTAGCTCAAAGGGTGGGAGTGCCCAAGTCCTTATAAATTCCACATTAGTTGCTCATACAACCAATGTGGGACTATATATCTCAACATGCCCCCTCACGCAAGAGCCCTTTAGGCTATAAGCGTGGAAATTACACAGGCTCAATTTTTGGTTTACCTTTTGTGTGTTTTATTTAATTCCACTTTAAAGTGGGAGGCGGTGAGGATCGAACTTGTGACCTTATAGTCACTCAAGCTCTGATACCATGTAAAGAACCTTGGGATACATCACTCCAAAAGCTAGCTCAAAGAGTGGGAGTGCCCAAGTCCTTATAAACCTCACATTAGTTGCTCATACAACCAATGTGGGACTATATATCTCAACACTACTTGAGATAAGCTTATCTCCAACCGCTATTTTAACTATATATTACTCATAAGATATGGATATTCAATCTGTCATTAAATTGTTTTCTTTGCTGGACTTGGTGTCATTGAAAACTTCTCTGGAGAGTGATTGGGCAATTCACGATTCTTTCATTAACTTTTTCACAGAATTAGCTGCATACCAGTTTGCTTAGTAACAAGCGGAATTCAGCAGCTATGAAGCACCGACACTTCAAAAACACTGACGTGTTGTGTCCGACACTTCTCGACATTCTCCGACACTGCCCGACTCTCCAACGCATGTTGTAGAGACTCAAAAAAGGTTTAAAAGTTGCGTTGCATTGTGTTTTTAGTTTCAACTATTAGATTCGTTAGATTACGATTATCATTTTATTGAGTTTAATATAAATATATGGAATATTTTATGTTTCTTTGCAAAATTGATGGGTATTATAAATTTAGCTTCATTTTTTTGTTAAATTATTAAATATTAAATACAATATAGACTATATAAATTAAAAATATTATTTAATATCAAAACGTGTCGTAACGTGTCGAAATCTAACATTTTTAAGAATTAACGTGTCGAAATGTCTTATCATATCGTATCTCGTGTCCCGTGTCAGTATCGGTGCTAGATAGTTCAGAGTACTACTCTCAATATTGTTTAACACCCAATCTTACTTTATTTTAATTTTATAATAAAAAATGTACTTTTAGTGGAGAAATTCTTAGTACATGGTAATGCATTCAACAGCTGGAATATGAAGTAAGATTTATTAAAATATATTTTAAATTTAATACAATTGTATGTATAATTATGCAATCCATATGTTATGATTTTATTAAATTGAATGTAGTATTCTCATATTATATATATATATATATATATATATATATATATATATAAGAACTTTTTCTTTTAATGACTACGCAATAGATATCACCACTTAAATAGCAACTCATGTTTATAAAAAAAAAAGGCATTGTTTTGGTCCATTTTTTTAAAGTCTTATTAGCTGTATTTAGCTGACTGTTTAACGTTAATGGTAAAAACTTTCAATAAATTTTTAAAGAAAAATGTTATATTTATAAATTTTATATTTACAAACTTAATTATGTATTTCAAAGAATACAAACATTGAAGTGTGTATTCTTCAGAATATATACTCGAATTTTTAAATATAAAATTTAAAAATATATACCTACTCATTTTTAATAGGTTAATCCACCAAGATAGGATAGCCAATTAGCAACTCCATGTCATATAGAAAAATATCTAAAATACTCCCCTCAAACCCAATTTTATATCTATCCCTTTAATAAAAGTCAAATACAAAGCTGATACGACAACATGTCAGTGCAAAGCGATTTTCTTATTAAATATATGTGTCTCATTTCGAATGAAAATAATATCTACTACTTTGTGCTTCGACGAATCGATGATACTCAAAATGCGCTCGTCATATAATGGTTGAAGCGAATCCGTTACAAAATAACTAAATATTTAACTTTGTATTGATTTCCTTAAAATTACTACATTTGACTCCATTTGTCAGTGTCTTCCCTTCTCTTATCTTTGTCTGTTTGCTTTTATAGGCTTGGCCTGCTCTTGCATGAAGTAGCTAGCTTAGGTAAATTTGATTATGCATATGGTTCAGACTTCAGACACAGACAAACTGAAAACAGAAAATGCAGTTTTCAACATCTTTTATTTTTCATTTCTTATTTTTGTGGGGAGTGAACAATTATACATCGAGTTATAAAATAATAAAGAGAAGGGAAGAAATAATAAAGACACTGGGTTAACTGGTTAAGTACAGCTACGTTTCACTATATTTTCTTGTCCGCAATTTTTAAGTACTCTGTTTATAAAAGAGATATAAATAGCGGAAGGAATTATTTATAAATTTTTACAAATTATACTATGTATTCACGGAAGTATATAGTGTATTTCTGAAAATACATAATATAGTCTGTAAATAAAAAATTTATAAATATAACTATTTCCGTATAAATAAATTTAAAAACTTTAAACAATAATTAGTCATATATTCAAATCCAAATTACTAAAGAGTAAAATAAAATAAAATAAACTTAAGCCAATAAAAATACAAGACTGCTAACGAACTTTCCTTATATCTTACTAATAAGAGTAGTCATCTAAATGCGAATTATAATTTATACCCAATTATTTTTTGAAAAATTGTGCTGGATTTAACTGTAAAGTAATCGAGGAGATCTCTGAAGTTCTGTATGTCAGTTTTCTTTACATACGGCGCGTAATTAACATTTATACACTCACAGAAGTCATCTAGTAATTGACCCAGCTGTTGAAAAGTGAAAACCAAACTCTTGATCTTTTGCCAAAGAAAGGAAGATATTTAAAGGTTCAGGTTAATTGTGTGACGAGTAAGGGCAGGTGTGAGGAAAACCGTACTGATAATATTCATAACCATACATAGTGCGCCACCTAACATGATGCTACTAATTTCTTATTCAAAATATATGTATTTTGGTAAAAAAATAAATAAAAATTATAATGTTATAGGATGGGATATTAAAAAAAGGAAAATATATTTTTACTTTTAAACGACACAAGTTATGTCATTTCACTCTCACATAGAAGTGAGATCCACACTTTTATGTTTTTACTTTTAAATGACACAAGTTATGTCATTTCACTCTCACATAGAGGTGAGATCCACACTTTTATATTTTTTTGTTCACTTTCTCTCCTCCTTTATTTATCTCTTTCTCTCACTTAAAATGATACACATTTTTCCCTTAAAAAAAACACTAATTCTTACTTATATTAATCAGAATCTAAATTAAGAAAATAAATCATTAAATATAAGAAAATAAGAAATTAATTATAAAAAATTTTATGTAACATTTCAATATATAATTTCACAATTATGTGATACAATTCGATGCCACACTTTCATATTTACATCCTAATTTAAATCTTATGGTAAGTTATACTTTAAAATTTGGTAGTTGAATTTTTTCATATATATACACACACCTTGCTTAGACATGTTTTATCTTATTTCTGTATCTTTCAGCAGCTGTTTCTTAAAGTTACCTTGCTATGGCAATGTTGATGCAGCTCCCTTGTTCTCCAAGTACATTGATACTCCGTTTCATAGTACTGTTTGCTTTTTTATGCTACCGAACGAAGGCTGTGGTGAAGCTTCCTCCAAATGCTTCATTTCCAGCAGTGATAGCATTTGGAGATTCGATAGTGGACTCAGGCAACAACAACAACATAAAAACATTGGTCAAATGCAACTTCCTTCCTTATGGAAAAGATTTCGAGGGAGGGATCCCAACGGGTCGATTTTGCAATGGAAAAATTCCATCAGACCTACTAGGTACTCTCTTCTTTATTCAGTTGTGTCTTGCCTTTTCTTAGAGGTTTTCTTAGTTTGAGGTAAAACAAAATCTCAATTGAGAAAAGAATTTGTGTTTACCAGAAAACTCACTTACTTAAAATACTCACTCTTTCTCTGACTGTCAACAAGAAAACTCATATATAGTCGCATACCATTTTATTTATTCCTTTTCACTTTTCTTCTTCTTTTATATCATCCTAAAGTTCAAAGCACATATCCGTTCAGCTATAAATTTAATCAAGTTTTTGGAAACTTCTTTTTTGTCTCATTACAAGGTCTTCTTTTCTCCCTATGATATATTGGGTATAAAGAGACAGTTGAAGAATTTTAGATTGGGGACACGGTTTTACTGGGAGAAAACGTTAGTGTTCATGAGAGGCCACAGCTATATTTAGCACATAAATTTAATTAGCCTTTAAACATCCGTAGATGCAAGAACCGTCCATTTCTTACCTCAATTTTTTTTTTTTTTTTACACAATGATAGCGCGGAAATTTAAACCTACGAATTTCATGCAAACTATCAAAATCTCTCGTCACTGGACCAATTATAGAAGCATATTTTTTAACTCAATTTTGATAAGTCGAGTTAATCATTTTTTTTCCAATATAAGTTCTAAATCCCGAATTTAGTAAAAAGTTGAGATTTGTTAGATATTGAACTTCGGATTAGGTGATTCATATTAAAAATTAGATAGAATCAAACAGCAATATCGTATAAAAAGAAAAGTAAAATAAAACTATTGGAGCAATAATTATAAAAAGAGTTTGTTTTTTCTGATGTTACTTTAGATAACTTTATCTAATGTTCATCAAAACGACATCGTTTTGGGACAGAAATTATGGTATTTTTGTAATTTTAATTTATTTCAGGGTTATAATAGTCTTTATCACTCTAATTTTTTAATTTTTCAATCCCAAAACGACGTCGTTTCGATGAACATTAGATAAAGTTATCTAAAGTAACATCACAAACTTTTTTCCTTTATAAAAAATACAAAAAAGTGTCGGTCATAGATCAATTTAAAAATTAAAGTATCTTAAAGTGTTGCATCATATATAACACGGGTATTTACACGGATATAACTTTTCTCCAAAGAGTCCGTGCTTCATATTATTTTCGTTCAGACAATCAATTGTTGTTCAATTTTTATTTTATTATAGGTAATCAAAATGAAAATACGATTTTCTTATCTAATATATCGTTAAAATTTGTGCCTTAATTGATGAAAGTAATATCCTAAATAACATAATTAGCAGCCATTCTCTATATTTTTCCACTTTACCTTATAATATAAAAGAATTCATTTAAAATGGAGTACTAGTTACAAAAATTATTAAAAGCAACATAATCTACAAATTATGAAATATTACTCGTAAAACGATTTTTAAATGGATTGGATTCTTATACTAATATCATTATGAACAAAGTTATATAAAAACTTATTATAAATAAAAACAAATATTGATTTAAAGATTCCAAATACAGGGTCAAAGTATTCTTCTCCTATACTATGAGATATTCTGAATGCATTTAGAACTATTATCAGCCTTCGCTACTATGTAAAACAGTTCTATTTCTTATTGTTAGTAATTACTACTATGAATTTCAGTTGAAGAATTGGGTATTAAGGAGTATTTGCCAGCATATTTGGATCCAAATCTCAAATCCAGTGATCTTGTTACCGGTGTCTGCTTTGCCTCCGGTGCTTCAGGATATGATCCTTTGACGCCCCAAATAGCGGTAAGTATATTTGAGCTTCATTTTTAATTCCTATAATATTGATTGGAAGAACAATCCAAACTCCAAACTTCAACAATTGTTTTTCAAGGGAAGAGATCTTTTGTATGTAGGGTAAAAATAAGAAGTTTTATTCTCCGTTTCAGCAATTGATTTTCATGCATTTGACAAAATTATAATAATTAGATATATGGAGAACAACTATTCAGATGAGGAATAAAAAATTTTATTCTTAGGAGAATATTATATTCATAAACTTTTTGTTATCAAACTCTTACAAATTACACTAAGTATCACCGGTCATACTTCAATCAAGAGTGTATGACCGGTCATACTTAGTGTAATTTGTAAAAAAAAAATTGTAAACGGATCATTTTCCTTATTCTTAGACACTAGTCTTTGATGATAGTATAAATTCACACCCGAGTGTGGATGCAAATTAGTTCACCCCTATGTATATATAATTCCTATTCACCATTATTTTCTAACATTTTGGACACTGTAACCAGTCAGTTATACCAATATCTGCTCAACTAGACATGTTCAAAGAATACATAGGAAAGCTGAAAAGCAATGTTGGAGAGGACAGAACAAACTTCATCCTAGCCAAAAGTCTTTATGTTGTGGTGGCAGGCAGTGATGATATTGCTAACACCTATTTTGTTGCTCGTGGGAGACAACTACAGTATGACGTGCCTGCTTACACTGACCTTATGTTGAACTCTGCCTCTAATTTCATAAAGGTAGGTACTAATCTCTTAGATTTTAAATGGTTGTTTCTTGAACATAGGAGTTATATTTAATGGGTTGTAATTTTATTTGACTCCAAATTTTTTCAATCAATATGTTAATTGATTGGGTCATGCAGTGGATCAATTAAAAGTGCATCGATTTTAAGGTTTTTGTCAACCAGGTAGTTAGCTCAAGGGAACAAAATAGTTGTACCAAAAAAAAAAAGGGACTAAATAAACAACCATTATAGTATATAATATCAATTTTTTGAGCCTATAAAGTCAACTATGCCTCACCATATGAGTTTTTTCTTTTCCTTGTCAATAAATTGGAAGGAACTATATAAACTTGGAGCACGAAGAATTGCAGTACTCAGTGCACCACCGATTGGATGCGTGCCATCACAGAGAACTCTAGCTGGAGGGATAATAAGAGAGTGTGCGGAAAAGTACAATGATGCAGCAAAGTTGTTCAACTCCAAACTGTCAAAGGAAATGGATTCCCTTAATCATAACTCACCCAATAGCAGGATAGTTTACATTGATGTTTACAATCCTCTTCTCGATATCATTGTGAACTACCAAAAATATGGTAATCCCAAGTCTTACCTAAACATTTATGAGGAACATGTATCTCATGTTTTATGAGATATTTTTATCTCGTATAACACACAAAAAAAGTGGGTGAAATTTATTAAGGAAAATGAAAAAAGTCAATTTCATTCACTTTTTGTGTGCATAAAACAATTGTGCCTCACGTAATATGAGAAACATATTTCCTAATATTTATTCATAAGAATTCATTTAATTTCTTCAATTTTTTTCTTTTCAATTTCTCTGTCAAGTGTTTACTTCTCCAATTGCAGGCTATAAAGTTGTAGACAGAGGTTGCTGTGGCACAGGTAAAATTGAGGTCGCAGTGTTATGCAACCCTTTGGATACCACTTGTCCTGATGCTTCAGAATATGTCTTTTGGGATAGTTATCATCCTACTGAAGGAGTATACAGAACGCTCATAAGTCAAGTCCTACAAAAGTATCTGAGCCGATTGATTTGAGCTAGATTAAGTTTGTCCACGGGATGTTAATTTTAATTATATTTATATCATTGAATAACATTAGTATTTTGAGTTTATCGAGTTGTTTGTGTGATCATTAAGTACTACTTGTAAAATGATTCTTGGAAGTCTTTATTTCTATTCATTGATTGATATAATTTATAGTATTCCTGGATTTTTATTTGCTGTCTGCTATATTATTAGTTTAATACGGAGCTTCTTTTTTTTTTTGGTAAAATAATACGGAGCTATTTATAGTGTGTTTCGTTGTGCCATTTTGCATCAATTAATATTTGTTTGATAAAATTAATGATATTATCAATTAACAGAATAAAAATATCACAAAATTCTCCGAATTATCTTTTTCTTGTTTAAACATAATATTGTATTGTCATTTGAAATACGAGTAACAAATGGTTTCACAAAACCATAAAAAGAAAATATAGGGATGAAATGTTGTAAATAAGTCCCTAACTTCTTAACTTTTATATGCAGGCCTTCGAATTTTACGTATTTTTTGGTACACTACAAAACTAAACTATGATAATCATCAAGATTGTCCGTACTAAAGAATTTCAATCGCACACGCGCGAAACATTTAATTCATCATTGATCAAGCTATAAAATATAATGAACTAGCTATTTTACTTGCACTGATTTATTTTAATGCTTAAGCATTATTGTGTTTTGTTCTTTCACGCAAAACACAATATTAAAAAACAAAACCATGTGTGGGTTTTTTACATTAACTCGATGACGAGAAACAGACTATTTGAATTTTAGTCCAATTAATATAGCTCGAAAAGAAATCAAAAGAAAAAAAACCAAAGGGTTCAAATTGTTATAATCTTTGTTCTTTTCTTCTTTTTCTTTTTTACTTTAAAGCTACTAATATCAATATGTCAACACCTATTAGGAGATTGATGGTGTCCCCATGAAAAATGATTTTCTCCATGGTGATACTTACGAAAAAGTCTATATGAGGGGGCTTGATAGGAGACAAGAGAGCCAAGCCCAACTATCTAAGGAAGAAACCCAGCCAGAAGAGGAACCAGAGGAAGATTTGGCAATGGAACACAACACTCAAGGATTAAATGGTCTAAGAGATGCAAGACCAAACCCAAATGGATGAGGGACTATTTCGTCAATTAAATAGTTTACCATGTGACTCAGAGAAGGAGAAAAGGGTAATAGGCGTGAGAAATAGATGTTGTTCTGTTAGGGGAGGTGTAGTATTCTGTTGCAATAGGGTGAGGGGAAAACCTTGCATGTGCGCCTCAACCGTTTAGCTATTTCAATTTCTATTTTCAATTGTGTTGTATAAAATCCCTTATTGTTCATATGAATGGCATCCGAAGTTTTTAGTAACCAATTTGGTTAAGGAGGCACCTCCCCTCGAAGGAGGATTATCGTTCTTTTTACGCTTGCAGAGCCATTTTTATCTCTGTTCCTGCCTTCTTTCGTTTCTGTATGCTACAGCAGTTATCATAGGTGCTTTTTGTTTGCTACAGTAGCTATCATTGGCGCTTTCATTGAGTCACCATCACCATGGTTAGCCCTACTCACAACCCCGATTCAATTGAAAACACTTTAGCCCAACTCTTACAATCCCAGCTCACACTCCAGCAAGACATGCAGTCCATAGTCCACAAGGTCTCATCCCTCGAAACTCGAGCCACCACCACAGCAACTGCAAGTTCATCTGCGGGACCACAACCAACCACGATTCCAGCCGAAATCAAAGCCGCAACCCTCAAGCTTGAGGTTCCTCGCTTCGACGACTCCAATGCCCTGGGTTGGATCTTTAAGATCACCCAATTTTTTGAGTTTCACGGTACACCGGAAGAACAACGGCCTCGAATCGCTTCCTTCTACATGGAGGGCGAGGCATTGAACTGGTATCAATGGATGTATGCCAGTGGTCAAATCACAAATTGGCCTCAATTGCTCCAATCGTTGGAACTTCGCTTCGCTCCATCACAGTACGAAGATCCGAAAGGTGACTTGATGAAGTTGTTACAAACGGCAAATGTACGCGAATACCAGGCCCAATTTGAAGTTCTTGTCAATCGTTGTGTGGGACTTCCCCATCCTTACCTCTTCAGTTGCTTTATTTCAGGTCTCAAATCTGAGATCCATCGCGAAGTGCAAGCCCTCCAACCCATGTCCCTTGCTCAAGCAATTGGTCTGGCTCGTTTACAAGAGGACAAACTCAACGACCATCGCATTCAGCATCGCTCTAAATTCTACAACGGCTCACAAACCTCACCCTTCAGTACCAACCGTTCCTCAGTTGTGACCTCCACACTCACTGCTGGAACAAATTCCCCAACCAAAACCTTCACAAGCCATCAATCAAACGCCTCTCACCAGAGGAGCTCCAGATTCGACGAGACAAAGGCCTCTGCTACAACTGCGATGATAAGTATCATCCCAATCACAAATGCAAGCGTCAATTTCTACTGTTGATTGCGTCGCCAGAACAAGCTCCTGATGATGACGACTTGGAGCAACTGATGGTGGACAACTCATTCTCCAACACTGACGCCAACCCTGATGCATCGTGTGGGCCCGAGGTGGACGCAGCTCAGATAAGTTTTCACGCCCTATTGGGCCATTCTGTCCCTCAAACTCTTAGGGTTCAGGGCCGTGTGGGCAAAGCCCAGTTATCTCTTTTAATTGATAGTGGGAGTACCCACAATTTTATCCAAGGCCGAATTGCTAAATATTTGGGCTTAGAAGTGCATCAAGCCCAAGGGTTCCAAATTTTAGTTGGTAATGGGGATGAATTAAATTGTTCTTCTATCTGTAAGCAGGTTCAGATTTTTATTGGAGAGCATCAATTTTTGGTTGATTTGTACCTTCTTCCCATTTGTGGGGCTGATTTGGTATTAGGGGTCCAATGGCTCAAAACGTTAGGGCCAGTTCTCACAGACTATGAAGCCCTGACCATGAAATTTGTTAAAGATGGAAAGTTGGTCCATGTACATGGTGTACCTTCTACACAGGCCCAAGAGCTTAATTCCACACAACTGAAGCGATTGTTGTCAACACGTGTCGTTGCTGAGTTATACCACCTGCAAGTCGTCGCGTCATCTAGCCCTCCTCCTACACCCACCACATATCCTTATGAAATCACAACTCTACTTGCTAGATTTGATTCCCTATTCGACATGCCTTCGGGTCTCCCACCACCACGTCCTACAGATCACCACATATCACTACCTCATGGTTCCGATCCTGTGAATGTAAGGCCATACCGATATCCCTACTTTCAGAAAAGGGAAATCGAGAAATTAACTGCTGAGATGCTTGCAGCAGGCATTATCCGTCCGAGTTCCAGTCCATTTTCTTCTCCTGAGCTCCTTGTCAAGAAGAAGGATGGATCGTGGCGTTTCTGTACTGATTATAGGGCTCTCAACGCTCTAACTCAGAAAGATCGTTTTCCAATCCCGACCATTGACGAGTTGATAGATGAACTTCATGGAGCTTGTTGTTTCTCCAAGTTGGACCTTCGCTCAGGCTACCATCAGATATGTATGACGCCAAGTGATATCCAAAAAATGGCATTTCGCACTTACGAAGGCCTTTTTGAATATTTGGTCATGCCTTTTGGCTTGTGTAACGCCCCTGCCACCTTTCAATCTACTATGAATGTGTTATTCAAACCTTACCTGCGTCGTTTTGTTATTGTTTTTTTGATGATATCTTGGTCTACAGTAAGTCTGTAACAGATCATATCAGGCACTTGGAGGAAACATTTCAATGCTTACTGGCTAATCAATTTTTCTTGAAGCGCTTCAAATGCACATTCGCACAATCAACTTTGGAATACTTGGGCCATATCATCTCAGACAAAGGGGTAGGACCTGATCCGGAGAAGATAAAGGCGATGCTAGCATGGCCATCTCCTACTACTATTAAACAACTACGTGGATTTTTGGGATTGACAGGCTTTTATCGGCGTTTTGTTCAAGGGTATGATTCAATTGCCACCCCATTGACAGACATGCTTAAGAATGACGCGTTTCATTGGAGTTCCTCTACCCAACTGGCTTTTGATCGTCTCAAGGAAGCTATGACTCAATCCCCAGTTCTAGCTCTGCCCAATTTCAACATCCCTTTCACTCTGGACACGGATGTTTCAGGTGATGGTTTAGGAGCAGTTCTCTTGCAAGGTGGCCTCCCTATCTGCTATTTTAGCAAAAGATTATGTGCTAAATTGGTATCATCTTCCACCTACGTCTGTGAACTTCACGCCATAATCGAATCAGTGTAAAAATGGAGACACTGTCTGTTGGGGCGTAAATTCACCATTCACACAGATCAGAGGAGTTTGAAGGATTTGATGACCCTGGTCATTCAGACCCCAGATCAGCAGCACTATCTTTCACAATTGTTGGGTTATGACTATGACATTGTTTACAAGCCAGGCCGTGACAACCGAGTTGCTGATGCATTGTCTAGAGTCCACACTTCCATTCCTCAAGTTCTCACACTCACTGTTCCCCAATTCGACTTCCTCCCTAGGCTCAAAGACGACTATGCCACATATTCGGAGATACAAAAAATATTCCAGGAGTTGGAAACTGACCCACTGTCACACCCTGGGTATTCATTGCAGCAGGGCCTTCTACTTCACCATGACAAAATTGTGGTGAGTTCTACATTACCCTTCAAGAAATTATTATTAGAAGAATTTCATGCAACACCTCTGGGCGGCCATTTTGGGGTACTCAAGTCTTATACTCGACTTCATGAGATTTTTTTTTGGGACGATATACGAAAGGACATGATGGAATTTTTGAAAAATTGTGCAGTTTGTCAGCTGATCAAAACAACTACAGCCAAACCATTGGGCTTATTACAACCAATTTACATCCTTACACAAGTCTGGGAAGATATCTCCCTAGATTTCATAACAGGGCTACCTTCATTCCAAAACTTCACTGTCATCCTAGTTGTTGTTGATCGATTTTCAAAGGCTGCTCATTTTGGCATGCTCCCGACTCAT